GAGAGAGAGAGAGAGAGAGAGAGAGAGAGAGAGAGAGAGAGAGCAATCTAACTAACTACGTGCCACTCCACTCCCCATCCCACGTATCTGCTCCGATCAGTTTCATATCTGATCCGTGGTCCATCGAGACCTGTGTTGCAAGAGAGAGAGAGAAAGAGAGAGAGAGAGAGAGAGAGAGAGAGAGAGAGAGAGAGAGAGAGAGAGAGAGCCCAATCTAACTAACTACGTGCCACCCCACCCCCCACAATCAAGGGTAGCATCTGCTCCGATCAGTTTCATATCTGATCCGTGATTCCGTGGTCCATCGAGACCTTGAAAAGAAATAGCATGTGTTGTGTGTGTGTGTGTGTGTGTGTGTGTGTGTGTGTGTGTGTGTGTGTGTGTTGTGTGTGTGTGAGAGAGAGAGAGAGAGAATCTTACTACACGGCCTGCCCCTTTCCCCCCCACACGATCACAGAATTGCGTATCTCCCGACATCTGAGAAAGAATATTTGTGGTAAGCGGGAGACAGGTATGCAACGTGTGACAAACACACAACAGACGAGTTCAAATCCGAACAATCAGATACGCAGCAAACCACAACTGAAAAGAATGCAAACTGTGATTAGGTCTCTGACAGGAGAAAAAAGCAAGAAAAAATCAAAAAGAGAAAAAAAAGCATATATTCAAGGCGTTCAAAGCAGCAGCAGCATTCCATCGGCAGTGTCAACAACAGTGCACAGGTGAGCCTAAAAAACACCCCGGCCCCACCCAAACCCACACCCGGACCAACAAGCCCCCACCCACCCTCATTTGCACCCTTTTCCCTCCATTGTTTTGCGGGCGAAGCCGCAACAGGTAGCCTTGGTTTTTTTTTTTTTTTTTTAATGAAAGAGTCATTTGTGAAGAGATTCCACCTGTTTCCCCCTCCCTCAGCACGGCGATAGCGGTAGTGATCCTGCTCAGTTGGGAGCAACGAGCTATACCCCTCATATCGGGCTGCAGAGCCTCATGATCTTTGTTTTGTTGCACATGACATGCTTACGTGTCATGTGGTGCACGCGCAAACTTGTTTCAGCTTCGGAAACCCCCTCATATTCTTTTGTTTTGTTTTCGGCGGTTCCCTTCCAGATGGGGATTACGCAGGGCAGTTTCTGACCCTTTTAATTTTTTTTCGTGTGTGTTTGGAACTTTGGGTTGTATTGTAGGGAGAATGAGGATTTGCAAGTACTCAGTGCGCAGCATCAATCCGGAGGGGTAAGTAGTGTTGTGTCCTTGTTGATCATAGGATGGTTGGCTCCTGGCCACCAGTGTTGGCCCCCTCTGTTTTGGGAAATGACAGCATTCCATTGGTTGCCTCCCTTGTTTTGGAAAACGAAAGCATTCCTTTGGTCTGGTAATAGTAGTTAACGTTCATGCCCTAGTACACTTGCATAATGTAATGACCCGTCAAAATACAGACTGAGAACACTGCTGATTTCTGAAGTTCTGCCGATGGAATGGATGCCTTGCTGAGATTCCCACATTCTGCTGTGTTTTCCAAGTCTGTCTGTGTGTGTGTGCTTGTGACCTGCGTGCCTGTCTGAGTGCTTGTCGGTATGAGTGTGCGTGTGACCCGCAAGGGTACTTGCTTGTTTGGCAGGCCCGTAGGG